AAGACAGCTGATCTGTCGGAGAACCACGTTGGTGCGAGACAGTCTGTAAAACTGCACTTCTTCTTCTCTGCTGTATTTTTAACTGACAGATCTACTGAGCGTTGGAGCGGGCACAGATATCGATATGCAAACTGATTGAAGGGTGTTTGTGTCTCACTGTGTTAGAGTAAACAAACCTCGTGCATGTGCGCCCAGCTCCACAATGACTGAGATATAAGTGCACGTGAGGCTTTATGAATCCATAAGCTCCATAAGTTTAATATCCGGGCGTAGAGGGACCTTCAGATAACTTTATCAGTCAGGCAGCGGGTCAGTGAGCGGGCTAACAGTGGTCCTGAGCGGAGTCTCCGTAACTATGGCAACGATACTATGGCGACGCTGAGTGACAGACCTGCCATTATGTGACATTCTCCTCTTGATTTAATATTTCTCCAATATGTGTCGTTAAACTCTTTCCACAGAAATAGGGGACAAACTGCATCCCGTACTGAATCAGTGAAGGACGCTACGTTTTATTTTTCAATACGGGACGAGCAACTTATAATGCAAAAATGGCTCATAATCAACGTTATGCACATTATGAACTGTTATGAACTGTTATTACATTATGAGCTGTTATTACATTATGAACTGTTACTACATTATGAACTGTAATTACATTATGAGCTGTTACTACATTATGAGCTGTTATTACATTATGAGCTGTTATTACATTATGAGCTGTTACTACATTATGAGCTGTTATTGCATTATGAGCTGTTATTACATTATGAGCTGTTATTACATTATGAGCTGTTATTACATTATGAGCTGTTATTACATTATGAGCTGTTATTACATTATGAGCTGTTATTACATTATGAGCTGTTATTACATTATGAGCTGTTATTACATTATGAGCTGTTATTACATTATGAGCTGTTATTACATTATGAGCTGTTATTACATTATGAGCTGTTATTACATTATGAGCTGTTATTACATTATGAGCTGTTATTACATTATGAGCTGTTATTACATTATGAGCTGTTATTACATTATGAGCTGTTATTACATTATGAACTGTTATTACATTATGAGCTGTTATTACATTATGAGCTGTTATTACATTATGAGCTGTTATTACATTATGAGCTGTTATTACATTATGAGCTGTTACTACATTATGAGCTGTTATTACATTATGAGCTGTTATTACATGATGAACTGTTATTACATTATGAGCTGTTATTACATTATGAGCTGTTACTACATTATGAGCTGTTATTACATTATGAGCTGTTATAACATTATGAACTGTTATTACATTATGAACTGTTATTGCATTATGAACTGTTATTACATTATGAGCCATTATTACATTATGAGCTGTTATTACATTATGAGCTGTTACTACATTATGAGCTGTTATTGCATTATGAGCTGTTATTACATGATGAACTGTTATTACATTATGAACTGTTATTACATTATGAGCCATTATTACATTTTGAGCTGTTATTACATTATGAGCTGTTACTACATTATGAGCTGTTATTACATTATGAGCTGTTATAACATTATGAACTGTTATTACATTATGAACTGTTATTGCATTATGAACTGTTATTACATTATGAGCCATTATTACATTATGAGCTGTTATTACATTATGAGCTGTTACTACATTATGAGCTGTTATTGCATTATGAGCTGTTATTACATGATGAACTGTTATTACATTATGAACTGTTATTACATTATGAGCCATTATTACATTATGAGCTGTTATTACATTATGAGCTGTTACTACATTATGAGCTGTTATTGCATTATGAGCTGTTATTACATGATGAACTGTTATTACATTATGAACTGTTATTACATTATGAGCCATTATTACATTATGAGTTGCAACAGCAACTCTGTCATCTCATGCCTCGGTGTGGCGCTGTTGTCAGTCACATCACTGATCCTCAGTTCTACCATCCTTACTTTTATCCAGACTTCCACAGGAAAGAAGTTTGCTGCATTTCAGAGTTTTCGTGGGAAAAAGAGTATAACTTTTATGGACGCTACTGTGTGACTCGTTCAATCAATTAACTTCACTGCTGAAAAGATATTTGACTCAGAAAGTAGTGACGTCACCACCACGCACTGAGAATGCTGTTACATTTGTAAAGTCGCACCTTGTAGTGAGCTGGTGCTGTGATCCATTTACGTTGCTACGAGCGGTGAGACTCAAGATGATGTCGTAAAATGTCGTAACTTCTTGCTTAAATTGGCGGTTTGCGTCCCCGTTTCCATTTGTACCATTTACAACCTAAACATAAACAAAGATGGATGCCTCCAAGAAAGCAGCTGTCGCTATTGCAGTAGCAGAGCCTTTATTATTAGTATCACTGCTAGCTACTTTCACCAACACCAACGGATAAACAACACATACGACATTCCACGCACAACAGCACATCATAAAAAATTCACATAAGCCATTGTAATGTGTACGAGTCATTCACATGAAGACTCAAATTTGCTAAACAGTAAAAATAATAGTAAAGAGCAGAGCCACTTATGGTAAATATAGGGCGCAGCCATCTTTGCTTTCCTCAGTCTTTCCAAACTCGTGGTCCTCTGAGTTCGTACGAGACCGCTACTGTTAGAACCTCCTCAAAGAGGCGTGTCATGACGTGTCGCTGCGTAATTTTGCACAGCTTCCTGTCTTTCCTATCGTCTTACCAGCGGTAAGGTCTATATGGAACGGCCCATACTTCCCAACAATGATTACTCCTGACAGCATGAGAAATAGCGGCGTAGCATGAGTGCGTATGAAATCGGTCATTTGCGTGACTGACGTTTTGCTCATTTCTCTCATTTCAGAGACTTTTCTTATTTTCTCTTTTATATATTGTCTTCAAGATAAAGCTAAAGTAATGTAGTAAACACACACAGTATTTCTTATCTGATTACTCGATTAATCACCAGAATAATTGATAGAATACTCGATTACTAAGAGAATAGATAGCTGCAGCCCTACGACAAACATTATTAATGATAGATAACAAAAAGTTTTAACCATTTAATCTGATCAGGTTTTGGACCTTGTCCACTTTTGTGTCAGCTGCAGACTGGCTTGACAGAGATAGTCGCCATTTTGTTTTACATATATAAATGCATTGTGTAATATCTGAGTACTTCTTCCACCTCTGAAACTACTGTATATCAAGTTTAACAAGACCAAAAAAATACATTGAGACAAACTTTTTTTTTTTTGAAAAAGCAAAATAAAAAAAAATTGATAACTAAAGTTTATAAAAATAAAAATAAAATGAAATAAAAATAGTCTGAACAGCACAGATAAAATTAGGTTAAAACTACTGATTCAAACTTTAAATTTAAATTAATAAAATAATAAAACAACAGTTTGAAGAAATTCAACATCTAAAAACAGTTTTTCGAAAACCAGAATTTAAATTATAACCTGTGAATTGTTTTCTGTCTGAGCTGAAATAAAAACAGTTTCACTTCCGGTCCCTCTGTCTGTGTCCTCGCGCTGTCCTTTAAATATGGACACGTTACACAAAGCGTTCTCACCTGTCTCCGGTACGTTGTGTCCCCGCTGGACGCACTTTGACTCAAACTGAAGACAGACAACAATAATATGAGTCCAGAAGCTCCGTAGCTCCACTTCTTCACCGCCGCCACCATCTTTGTTGTGACCAAGCGGCGCCGCGGGTCATATGACTCGCCCCCGTCCTTCCTGTCAGCTGACCGCTTTTTATTATTATCATTTATTTTTTTACTTTTTAAATAATCCCGGCATAAAAGCGAAGAAGCGGAATAAGACACGACGAAACAAATTTTAGATTAACATAAATAAATAAATAAAATCTGAAGTGACCTCAGCAAGGAGATTAAATTTTTATTTTTTTTCCAGAAATAATTCTACTTCCTGTTTCGTGTCTGACACATTAAGGGACTGTTCGTTATTTCTGAATGAAAAAACAATCAAAAAAAAAAAGAGGGAGACTTGTCAAATCATCTTTTTTTTTTGACTTAGAGGAGGGGCATAAAGTTACAGATGTTATAAAGATTTGTGATACCCAGAGTGATGTCAGTACTCTGATGGTTATAAATGAACTTATAGACGTCAAAAACAAAGTTATACATCTAAATAAAGTTACAGACCTTATAAATCGTTATAGTCCTTGTAAATAAAGTTATAGACCTTGTAAATAAAGTTATAAACCTCATAAACAAAGTTATAGACCTTGTAAATGAAGTTACAGACCTCATAAACAAAGTTAAAGACCTTGTAAATAAAGTTACAGACCTCAAAGTTATAGACCTTGTAAATAAAGTTATAGACCTCATAAACAAAGTTATAGACCTCGTAAATAAAGTTACAGACCTCATAAACAAAGTTATAGACCTCGTAAATAAAGTTATAGACCTCATAAACAAAGTTATAGACCTTGTAAATAAAGTTACAGACCTCAGTTATAGACCTTGTAGATAAAGTTATAGACCTCATAAACAAAGTTATAGACCTCGTAAATAACGTCATAGACCTCATAAAGTTAGACCTCGTAAATAAAGTTACAGACCTCATAAAGTTAGACCTCGTAAATTAAGTTAGACCTCGTAAATAAAGTTAGACCTCGTAAATTAAGTTAGACCTCATAAATAAAGTTATAGACCTCATAAATTAAGTTAGACCTTGTAAATTAAGTTAGACCTCGTAAATAACGTCATAGACCTCATAAAGTTAGACCTCGTAAATAAAGTTATAGACCTCATAGTTAGACCTCGTAAATAAAGTTATAGACCTCATAAAGTTAGACCTCGTAAATAAAGTTATAGACCTCGTAAAGTTAGACCTTGTAAATAAAGTTATAGACCTCGTAAAGTTAGACCTCGTAAATTAAGTTAGACCTCGTAAATCAAGATATAGATGTTGTAAATAAAGTTAAAAACGTTGTAAATACTGTGATGGTTATAAATGAAGTTTCAGTACAAACATCTGGACATTTAACCAACGTTAACTTTATTAACAGGTTCAGGAAGTTTCAGAGAGTCGTCTGGTCCACACACACACACACACACACACACACACACACACACACACACACACACACTGGAGTGACTCTGACGTTGATCCGGATCGATCCGGATCTACTCGGCACCTGGTCCGCCCATCTGGTCATCTTTGTCTTTCTTCTTGTGACCAGAGACAATGTCATCAATGCGCAGCAACAAGATGGCCGTCTGGGCAACAGAGACAGAGAAAGGAGGGGTTAGTGTGTGTGTCGGTCAGTGTCACGATGACATCATCAGCCTCAGGATGGCAGGGGCTTCTGACCTCGACAGCGGTCTTGTAGGTCTGAGCTTTGACGGCAAGCGGCTCCCAGATCCCCAGAGTGTTCATGTCAGACAGACAACCTGTTTCCCCGTCCACGCCCCAACACACACTGTTCTCCTGAGTGTGTTTGGCCTGCGCGCACACACACACACACACACACACACACACACACACACACACACACACACAAATGACATCATTAATAAACTGTTAATACAACAACTGCATTTGAGAAGAATGAACTAAATAAAGTTGTGTGTTACCCTCAGTGATGTCAGCACTCTGATGGTGGAGGCTCCACAGTTCTGAATCAGGGTTCGGGGGATCACCTCCAGGGCCTGAGCCACTGCGCGGTATGGCCACTGTTCCACACCGGTCAGAGCGCGGGAACGCTCCATCAGACGCTTAGACACCGCCATCTCTGTGGCACCGCCCCCTGGCAACAGGAAGGGGTCCAGCAGGACATTACGACACACCTGCATGGCATCCTGAAGGTTCCTCTCCACTTCCTGAAGGAAAGCAACACACAAGCGCTCAACTGAAGGAAGTGCAAGTGTCAGACACAGGTGGGAAATACGAAAGATCTGAAGTGCGGGTGAAAGCAGCTGAAGTGTGGGTGAGAGCAGCTCAAGTGTGGGTGAGAGCAGCTCAAGTGTGGGTGAGAGCAGCTCAAGTGTGGGTGAGAGCAGCTCAAGTGTGGGTGAGAGCAGCTCAAGTGTGGCTGAGAGCAGCTCAAGTGTGGGTGAGAGCAGCTCAAGTGTGGGTGAGAGCAGCTCAAGTGTGGGTGAGAGCAGCTCAAGTGTGGGTGAGAGCAGCTCAAGTGTGGGTGAGAGCAGCTCAAGTGTGGGTGAGAGCAGCTCAAGTGTGGGTGAGAGCAGCTCAAGTGTGGGTGAGAGCAGCTCAAGTGTGGGTGAGAGCAGCTCAAGTGTGGGTGAGAGCAGCTCAAGTGTGGGTGAGAGCAGCTCAAGTGTGGGTGAGAGCAGCTCAAGTGTGGGTGAGAGCAGCTCAAGTGTGGGTGAGAGCAGCTCAAGTGTGGGTGAGAGCAGCTCAAGTGTGGGTGAGAGCAGCTCAAGTGTGGGTGACAGCAGCTCAAGTGTGGGTGACAGCAGCTCAAGTGTGGGTGACAGCAGCTCAAGTGTGGGTGACAGCAGCTCAAGTGTGGGTGACAGCAGCTCAAGTGTGGGTGACAGCAGCTCAAGTGTGGGTGACAGCAGCTCAAGTGTGGGTGACAGCAGCTCAAGTGTGGGTGACAGCAGCTCAAGTGTGGGTGACAGCAGCTCAAGTGTGGGTGACAGCAGCTCAAGTGTGGGTGACAGCAGCTCAAGTGTGGGTGACAGCAGCTCAAGTGTGGGTGACAGCAGCTCAAGTGTGGGTGACAGCAGCTCAAGTGTGGGTGACAGCAGCTCAAGTGTGGGTGACAGCAGCTCAAGTGTGGGTGACAGCAGCTCAAGTGTGGGTGACAGCAGCTCAAGTGTGGGTGACAGCAGCTCAAGTGTGGGTGACAGCAGCTCAAGTGTGGGTGACAGCAGCTCAAGTGTGGGTGACAGCAGCTCAAGTGTGGGTGACAGCAGCTCAAGTGTGGGTGACAGCAGCTCAAGTGTGGGTGACAGCAGCTCAAGTGTGGGTGACAGCAGCTCAAGTGTGGGTGACAGCAGCTCAAGTGTGGGTGACAGCAGCTCAAGTGTGGGTGACAGCAGCTCAAGTGTGGGTGACAGCAGCTCAAGTGTGGGTGACAGCAGCTCAAGTGTGGGTGACAGCAGCTCAAGTGTGAGTGACAGCAGCTCAAGTGTGGGTGACAGCAGCTCAAGTGTGGGTGACAGCAGCTCAAGTGTGGGTGACAGCAGCTCAAGTGTGGGTGACAGCAGCTCAAGTGTGGGTGACAGCAGCTCAAGTGTGGGTGACAGCAGCTCAAGTGTGGGTGACAGCAGCTCAAGTGTGGGTGACAGCAGCTCAAGTGTGGGTGACAGCAGCTCAAGTGTGGGTGACAGCAGCTCAAGTGTGGGTGACAGCAGCTCAAGTGTGGGTGACAGCAGCTCAAGTGTGGGTGACAGCAGCTCAAGTGTGAGTGACAGCAGCTCAAGTGTGGGTGACAGCAGCTCAAGTGTGGGTGACAGCAGCTCAAGTGTGAGTGACAGCAGCTCAAGTGTGGGTGACAGCAGCTCAAGTGTGGGTGACAGCAGCTCAAGTGTGGGTGACAGCAGCTCAAGTGTGAGTGACAGCAGCTCAAGTGTGGGTGACAGCAGCTCAAGTGTGGGTGACAGCAGCTCAAGTGTGGGTGACAGCAGCTCAAGTGTGGGTGACAGCAGCTCAAGTGTGGGTGACAGCAGCTCAAGTGTGGGTGACAGCAGCTTAAGTGTGAGTGACAGCAGCTCAAGTGTGAGTGAAAGCAGCTCAAGTGTGGGTGAAAGCAGCTTAAGTGAGTTTGAAGAACATTAAAGATTAAAGTAAGGAAAAGGTTCTCACAGCGAGGATCTCCTTGCTGGCTCCTCTCAGCAGGATGGTGCAGGCCTTTGGGTCTTTACACTCAGTGACGAAGGTGAAATACTCATCGCCGATCTTCTTGACCTCAAACAGCCCCGCCCCCGTACCAACGTCTTCCTCGCGCAGTTCGTCGGTTCGGCTGACAATGCGAGCGCCGCACGCCCTGAAAGACAGAGACAGGTTACAGACACATGCTGTCTGCTGACAGCTGATTGGCTGCAGGTGAGCAGGTTACCTGGCGATGCGGTTGTTGTCGGTCTTCCTCACGCGGCGGATGGCAGTGATGTTGGCCTTCATCAGGTAGTGCTGCGCCAAATCTGAAAGGACACATGAGAGGGATTATCTTTATTGTCTTCTTTAATCCACCATTTTGTTTCCTCTGTGTTTAAGCGACATGATTTTGTCAGGGCACGGTATGTTATGAGGGATAATATTAACCCTTCTACTGATGGGCGGGGCTTAGCGGGAGGCAAAACACTAGCTCCACAGACATTAGCTAGCGCTAGCTAACAAGTTCTGTTGCCTTGTTTAAGACAATGGAGGAAGATGATGCGTGTTCAGCTAATGCTAAAAAGTTACCAGAGTGAAATCCAATATTGTTGGCTCTAATATTACCTAATGTGCTAACAGTGTGTGTGTGTGTGTGTGTGTGTGTGTGTACCTGAGATGCCCTTCTCAGTGAACAGCAGGTCTGGTTTGAGGCGGATGATGTCCTCACAGATCTGCTGGATGTATTCTTCCTCCATCTGCAGGATTCGGGCGAAGTCCTCCTCCTTACTGATCTCTATGTCTGTCTGCAAACACACACACACACACACACACACACACACACACACGTGTAATACACACTACACACACCCCTGATACAGCAGGACTGTCCCTTTAAAGTCGGACACCCCTCAGTCAACTCAGACCGCTTCAGGTCCAGCAGTCGTTTCTAATTTGTTGTTAGCATTTTTAGCATCATTAGCTGTTGTTTACATGAATTCAGGTGTGTCTCACCTGGCTCTCGCCCTTCTTGTACTCCAGGGAACAGTCCAGCAGGACGATGCGTGGCTCTTTGATGACGCGTCTCATCCTCGGGTGTGTCACATCTTTGTTGACCATCACGCCTTTCAGGACACACGAGTCCTCGATGATCCCGCCAGGAACCTGAACACACCACAACAACACGTGACAGGAAGTGTCAGCAGATGCATCCAATGGTGATCATCAGTGCTGGACAGACAGAAAGTGGTTACCTTCTCCACTTTGGCATACTTCTTGATGTCGATCTCCTTGCGTCCATTGTCTTCCAGCTCCACGGTGCGGACGGCGTCCAGCGCAATGCTGCACGCCAGCTCTGACCAGCGGCTCACCGCTTTGGTGTTGATAGCCGAGTGGACGATCTTCAGCATCATGGAGCGGTCCACCGTGTCCACAGGGATGCTGGGGTGTGACATCATCATCAGTATTTTAACACCGTCTCCCTTCTGCTGCCCTTTCACAATAAAAGCCTCTGTGTGTACCTGATGTCCTTCAGAGTGTCCAACATGTCCTCCAGAGCCCGTCTGTAGGCGCCAATGATCACCGTCGGGTGCATCTGCTGCTCCAGGAACTGCTCTGCTACCGCCAGCATCTCCCCCGCTGCATGTACGCACACACGTTACAGAAGAACACAACACACATTGTTTAACACACAAAATACACTGTGAAGACAGTCTACATGTCCACACTGTGAGGACAGTCAACATGTCCACACTGTGAGGACAGTCAACATGTCCACACTGTGAGGACAGTCAACATGTCCACACTGTGAGGACAGTCAACATGTCCACACTGTGAGGACAGTCAACATGTCCACACTGTGAGGACAGTCTACATGTCCACACTGTGAGGACAGTGAACCCTGTGAGGATAGTCGATTTTAATCTGAAAGGATCTGATATCACTTCCTCTCATGATGTCATCGGCAGACTCACCCAGGATGATGACAGACGTGGTCCCGTCTCCCACCTCCTCGTCCTGCGTGCGGCTGATCTCAATCATGGACTTGGCTGCTGGATGCTGGACCTGGATCTGTTACCATGGAGATGCAGGTCCTCAGCAATGACATCATCATCAGGCATGCCCTGTATGTTTAATGTAAACATATAAACATCTGCTGACCTCTCTGAGGATGGCGTTTCCATCATTGGTCATCACGATTCCTCCCATGGGGTCGAGCAGCATCTACACACACACACACACACACACACACACACACACACACACACACGATTACTCAATGAATCAATGACACTGTCAGGGTGTGGGTGAATGTTTGTGTGATGATGATGATCTCACCTTCATCATGGCCCGAGGGCCGAGGCACGTCCTGATCACATCTGCTATGGTCTGAAACACACACATTAGCTAACGTTAGCTTCAATAGCAAAACAAATATCGGATTACACTGCAATGCAAACTTTTTAGCACATTAGCTAATGTTAGCTCCAACAGCAAAACAATAAGCTAACGTGCTAACAAGCTAACGTTACGGAGAAACCCAACGACTCAAACTGCAGTCAGTGTGTGCAGCAGGTGTGTCATGACCCTCAGGTAGACTCCACCCCCTCTGGCTCACTGACCTTGGCAGCATTGATGTTTCCTGTCTGAACTTTACGTCCCGACTCTCTCTTGATGTTCTGGTCTGCACAGGAAACACACACAGGAAGTTGACACATTTATTAATGACACTCGTTACCTGGAGAGGAAGTGTGTTGATGACTCTGAACACTTCCTGTTTTCCTCCCCCTGCCCCGCCCTGTAACGACCGCTGACTGACTGAAATATCTAGTTTATCTTTGCTCCTCCGCTCTGAACTGTTTATGCGGATGTTTTTAAATCATTCAATAATTAATTTGACCTTTTGTTTTTTTCTCTTCTCTTTAATTGTAAATCTGTGTCCTTAACTTTGTTCATACATTTTACATTTTTTTCTCAATGGTATATTTTATATCTTTTATGAATTTTTTATTTATGTATATTATATATTTACATATTTCTATTTATATATCAATATTTTAAACTATATCTTATATTTATATCTTATGTAAATTCAATATTTATATTTTAATATTCTATATATTTTGTGTTCGCTGTTCATTTATGTGCATTTTACATTTTTTATATTTTATATATTATATTTAGGGCCCGAGCACCGACCTCAGTGCGAGGTGTAGTCCAGGTCTAGGCTTCATAGTGGTGTGAGGTGTAGTCCAGGTCTAGGCTTCATAGGGTGCGAGACTTCATAGCAAGTGATGTGAGTTTCGTCGGTGGGCGTGGCGAAATGACTTGGCCACGCCCATTAAAGTGCAGCCCCCCCCCACATGTGTTTTACCAACATGCATGAAAATCGGCACATACCTGCATCATGCCCAAATGCACAATAAAATTCTCTTGGACCCATTGCCTAAACTCAACATGAAGTCGGCCATTTTGAATTTCGTGGTCATTGTTGGTGTTTCCCATGTGTTGTGTTTTTACAAACTTGTCCTTCAGATTTAATCCGACTGGCTTCAGATGTTAGCGTGACTACGTTGTGACCAAAAGTTATAACAAGACCATCCCAATGTTGAATGGCACGCCCGCTGCGGAGCGTTGAATTTTGAGGTCTCGCCATGAAACTGCTACAACTTTGGTGTAAAAAGTCGGATCTCCACCAAACTTCACGTGATTCATATTAGTCCCGCCCTGAACACATCTGTATGACCACATTTCCTGATACTCACAGCGCCACCGTGCGTTGACAGGAAGTACGTCTTATCAGACATTTATCATTTGATTTATCTGAGACTTAAATGCTGTGGTGGGTATTTGATGTATAAAAACATATCATTAGTGCGTTCTCCAGCTCCCTCTAGTGGACAGAGGATGTGGTACAAACTGTATCAAGGATACGCCAAGTCACTCCTGCACGTGGCGTCCACCTATTATATTTAGGTATATTCTACATTTGTAATTGTACAATATTTAATATTTGAAATTGTATTTTTATGATGCATTATCTGCTCCTTCAGCACTTTAAATGACGCTGTTATATAAAATGTGCTCTGGCTGGACCGTTCATTATAATCTCATCTTTATTGTTGATATTTCAGTCTGTGCTGCTGAACGTCTCTGAGAATCAATAGAGTTTATTTTGTCTCATTTGTTTCTCATGTCACTCTGTGTGGGATTAACAAAGTTTGATCTTCAATGAACGAGCAGCTTCAGAAAAAGGACACGCAGCGTTTATACGCATTAATATGAAATATGTGATAACACACTGAATCAATAACATCGATATGAGATGTGATCGATCAGTGAGGGTGTGTGTGCTGCCTCAACAAAAGAACGTTAAACTGCGGACACATTATCCGCTGTTAGCTAACATTAGCACCGCCGGCTAACATTAACATTAGCTCGTTTTTATCTTCAGTCTGTTACATTATAATCAAAAAGTGCTGAGTCACATCCGGTCACGACCTGTACTCTATTTCTTCATTAAAACACCGCGGTGACATTAAAGCTACATGCTAATGAATTAGCATTAAACACAAAGATACTGACGCTGTTAGCATGTTAGCAGGCTAACTCTATCTCTATGCTGAGTAAAGGGATTTATTAGCCTAGCATATCGCCTCATTGGGAACACGAGCTGACGATGCTAACTGTTAGCGCACGGTGGGAGGAAGCACATGCTCCGCGGCTGGGGGAACTGCCGGTGTCCGCTTTGTGTCGCAGCAGGGCCGCTGTAAACCGGGCAGAGTCCCGGTACCGCGGAGCCCCCGGTGTTAACGCAGACATGTTTCAAGATGAAGATTGAAGATTTTCGGTACTTACTGAGCACTAAAACCTGCTGGCCCATCATCGTGACGGCGCGTGTCGGACTGCTTCGGCCTGGAAGGTTCTGGGAGGGAGAGAGAGGGAGGTCTTAGCGGCAGGGGCGGGAAATCAACCACAGCCCGACCAATCAGCTGAGAGGATCACTGTGACTGACAGGCGCGTCCGCCAATTGAGTCAATGAGCTGAAATGAGCGGAGACAGGCTCAGCCTTTTATGGTGAAACACCCACAGACACGTCTATGGAAACACCAACACCTCATTTACACTCTCCATGATTTTACAGCCGTCATGTTGTTCGTCAGAAGTTTTTATTATTCTGTTCGAAATAAAAACAAGATATCAGTGGATTTAGATTTAAAACATAACTTACAAACAACAACTTAGAAAAGTAAGTAAATATACATTTATTCAATTTGAAAATCTATTCATAAATGCATACAAATGCATTTTAAAAGGAAACTGGCATGTATTTAAATACTGATGTATTTCATATTTTGTGTCACTGTCACCAGTAACATCATCACATCTGTTACATGATTTTTATGTAAGGGACCGTTGTTTATTTATGAGAGGGAGGTGATTTATTTTTTGACACATTTTAAATGAGACATAGAATAAAATGATCTTAATGAAATATCACTATTTTCAGCTCAGATTCAGTTATGATTTTTTTCCTGATGGAAGCCTTTGTGTTTTTACTGTATCTGGCTGTAATACATTTTAAAAGAAGATCTGCCTTCCAAACCCACACATTTACATTTAAAAAAAATTGCCAAATTTGTTTAAAGGAAACATTAACCCCCCCCCCCCCCCCCCTCAAAAAATGCAAAAATGTTCAATGGAAAAAAGATCACCACAAAAACATAGACATACATTTTTAAAGGAAATTTTAACAAAATGTATAAAAAGCCCCCAAGAGCCCCAAAACTTACAAAACAAATTCATCAGAAAGAGAAAATGAATCAAAATTAAAAAACAAAAAAAAAGAACGCACCAAAAATTTTTACAAGAACACATTTTAGTTTTTACAGAAAAAATCATCACAAACAAACAAAATTATCAAAAATTGTTGGGAAAAACTATGAAAAACTTTGAAATTAAAAGTATTTAAATGTGTATGCCCCGACCCTGAGCCAGAATTAAAAACCATAAGTCCACCCTGGTGCTTAAAATATTATTTGACATGCCTCACCTATATTTGCACCACCCCTCCCCCCAAAAAAGATAATGAACATTCCCTAACGACATATAAAAATAAATGTATTTACTAGAAGGAATTTATTTCAGATTCTACTCACACACAGATCTCTCCACACACAACAATGACATGCTAACGAGTCACAACCAGCTGAGTGTAGCAGGGACACGACGACAAACACAAACCAGCTGTCAGAGTTTTATTGAACGCTCCTCCTCAGTGGGAACTGGCAGCCGTAAGGCTCTGAGAAGATTTGTGCATCAGTTTGATGTTCCACTACTGTTCCATCAATAAATAAGAAAACACAAACAATTTACACACAGGATGAAATCAATAAAGTATTTTCTTTTTTATATAAAATAAATAGGAATATAAAGAACACTGGGCACAGTGATAGGAAGTTCCATTTGAAAAAGACAAAATAAAAGCTTGTCTCCTCCTTTGTTTTGCTATTGAAGCTAATGTTAGCTAATGCGCTAAAAGTTAACATTACTGGGAAATCCAATATTTGTTTTGCAATTGAAGCTAATGTTAGCTAATGCGCTAAAGGCTAACAATTACTGGGAAATCCATTATGTTTTGCCATTGAAGCTAATGTTAGCTAATGCGCTAAAGGCTAACATTACTGGGAAATCCAATAAAAGAAGAATGAAATTTTATTTACGTGTCTGGCTGCCCAAGACAGCGCATCCCTCATGGGATTATTCAGACACATTTTAAACAAAACATTTTCCAGTGCCTTCATGCCAACATAGAACAGTAAAGACGACATAAAATTTTATTTACAAAAATAAATGAAACAAAATAAAAAGGACAATCTTTAGAGCCAGGATCTATCTGTATGCATAAGTTGTTGCTTTCTTCTGTTCCACACTTTATGGATATAATTGGATATTGCAAATATATGATTATCAAATAACCATTTAATTATTTGTTTATCCTGGGACAGACCTACATGTGTTGATACTTTGTCAAAGAATGTTTCTCTTAGGTCATCGTAGAGTATGTCCAATATGTTTTGCCACTGAAGCTAATGTTAGCTAATGCGTTAAAAAGCTAACATTCCAGGGAAATTCAATATTTGTTTTGCCATTGAAGCTAACGTTAGCTCAAGCACTGAAAAGCTAACATTATGGGGTAATCCAATATTTGTTTTGCTACTGATGCTAACGTTAGCTTGGCTAAAAAGCTTACATTATGGGAAACTCCCGTATTTGTTTTGCAATTGAAGCTAATGTTAGCTAATGTGCTAAAATCCAACATTATGGGGAAATCCCAAATTTGCGGCGTAATGTTTGTTAAATGATGAAAATAAATAAAAAACTAAATAAACAAAAACAAAATGGTGGGCTCGTGCAGGATGTCTCATGTCACCAAAGTGACAACTCTCTCCAACCAATCAGTGGTCTGCAGTGATGTAGCTCCACCTCCTTCCGGTGGTACCAGAACGTACCAGCTTGGACTGAGTAGCAATGGAGATGAGATTTAATGTCCGTTGTCATGGAGACCAGCTGCTTCCGTTGGACCTGATCGGCCTGGATGGACATGTCAGAGTTCATCCCTGGACCCAGTGGACACCACACTATGACTCGCCTTGCTCTTCAGGAACTTCAGGAAGTCTTTGAGCTCTCGACCCCCCTGAGGACACACAGAGGAGGACATCATGTGACCAGATGTAATGTGACACAATGAGTGAGACGGAGATGATGGACTGTGGACAGGAAGTTGTTAACCTCGTATCTGATTGGCTCGTCCTTCCGGCCCACGGGAGCAAAGTAAATGGTGGGATACCTGTGAAGGGACAGAGGGACAGTTTCAGAGACAGAGACGGAGAGACGGAGACAGGAGGAAGCAGTTGCTGATGTCTCACCCCTGGATGTCGTATCCCAGTGGAACATCGTTATCTGCAGCGTTCATCTTGGCAATGACAATGTTTGGATCAGAAGACAGCTGACGGACAGAGGGACAGACAGAGGTTTTAATCCAAACAATAGCTCTAAAAAAAACTATCCAAGTAGATTATGCTATTAAGTAAATATTCTAATAGACTAGAATATTAGCCAGTTAGCTTGCTAACTAGGTAGGCTATGCTAACAAGTGAACATGCTAATAGACTAGAATATTAGCCAGTTAGCTTGCTAACTAGGTAGGCTATGCTAACAAGTGAACATGCTAACAGACTAGATTATTAGCCAGTTAGCTTGCTTACTATATAGGCTATTCTAACAAGTGAACTTGCTAATAGACTAGCATATTAGCTAGTTAGCTTGCTAACTAAGTAGGCTATGCTAACATGTGAACGTGCTTATATACTAGAATATTAGCTCATTAGCTAGTAAGACCATGTTAACAAGTAAGCTTTCAAATAGGCTAAAATATATACTTATTAGCATAGCCAATCTGGTTAGCAAGCGAACTCGTTAATATTCTAGTTCACTGACACATTTCCTTGTTAGCATAGCCTACCTTGTTTGCAAGCTAACTTGAAGATGATGTACATACTGTGTCAGCGAGGTCTCTGTAGACCGGCTCCAGTTTCTTACAGTGAGGACAGGACGGAGAGAAGAACTGAATCAGGACGTCCTTATTTGGATCATTGACAACCTCATCGAAAGACTCGGCAACGACCACCTGCAAACACAGGTCACAGGTCACAGGTCAGAGACAAGACGGACACTGACTATGTGACCACGGTGTCGGCTGTTTGACTCTCATCATCCTCTCTGCTTCCTGCTGAGGGTGTAAATGTTAATGATATTAAAGGGAGCGTGGCTCAGAGTCTCACCTTGACAGCAGCAGTGTTCCTCTCAGGGATGGGCTCAGACTTCACAAAACGTTTCAGATGACCTGCGAAGAACTCGTCCAGGAACCTCTCCAAGGACCGCCCATCCCTCCTGACACACACACACACACACACACACACACACACACTACTGTGACCAGATTGGCTCAACATGTGTGATGTCATACAGGTAAGCAAACGTGAACTCCTCCCTCATGGTGTATTATTTTAGCCTGGTTTGGCCTGGTTACATACGTGAACTCCTCCCTCATGGTGTACTTGTGGCCCAGTTTGGTCCGGATAGTGACAAATGGCAGCTCTCCTCCGTCCGACGTCCCCAGACCGAAGTCGTCCTCCAGCTCAGACAGGAAGTCCTTCTTATTGGCTACTGAGAATGTCAGGCCCCTCCCAGAATATTTTGACGCCACTCTCAACACCCTGGCAACAAGACAGAAGGGGCGGGGCTCAACCACAAAAAGTGTCTTTACCTGTCCATGTGTTTCCTGTATACGTTTACCTGTCCATGTGTTTCCTGTATATGTTTACCTGTCCATGTGTTTCCTGTTCATGTTTACCTGTCCACGTGTTTCCTGTATATGTTTACCTGTCCGTGTGTTTCCTGTATATGTTTACCTGTCCATGTGTTTCCTGTATATGTTTACCTGTCCATGTGTTTCCTGTTCATGTTTACCTGTCCGTGTGTTTCCTGTATATGTTTACCTGTCCGTGTGTTTCCTGTATATGTTTACCTGTTCATGTGTTTCCTGTATACGTTTACCTGTCCATGTGTTTCCTGTTTATGTTTACCTGTTCATGTGTTTCCTGTTTATGTTTACCTGTCCGTGTGTTTCCTGTATATGTTTACCTGTCTATGTGTTTCCTGTATATGTTAACCTGTCCATGTGTTTCCTGTTTATGTTTACCTGTCCGTGTGTTTCCTGTATATGTTTACCTGTCCATGTGTTTCCTGTATATGTTTACCTGTCCATGTGTTTCCTGTATATGTTTACCTGTCCATGTGTTTCCTGTATATGTTTACCTGTCCATGTGTTTCCTGTATATGTTTACCTGTCCATGTGTTTCCTGTATATGTTTACCTGTCCATGTGTTTCCTGTATATGTTTACCTGTCCATGTGTTTCCTGTATATGTTTACCTGTCCATGTGTTTCCTGTATATGTTTACCTGTCCATGTGTTTCCTGTATATGTTTACCTGTCCATGTGTTTCCTGTATATGTTTACCTGTCCATGTGTTTCCTGTATATGTTTACCTGTCCATGTGTTTCCTGTATATGTTTACCTGTCCATGTGTTTCCTGTATATGTTTACCTGTCCATGTGTTTCCTGTATATGTTTACCTGTCCATGTGTTTCCTGTATATGTTTACCTGTCCATGTGTTTCCTGTATATGTTTACCTGTCCATGTGTTTCCTGTATATGTTTACCTGTCCATGTGTTTCCTGTATATGTTTACCTGTCCATGTGTTTCCTGTATATGTTTACCTGTCCATGTGTTTCCTGTATATGTTTACCTGTCCATGTGTTTCCTGTATATGTTTACCTGTCCATGTGTTTCCTGTATATGTTTACCTGTCCATGTGTTTCCTGTATATGTTTACCTGTTCATGTGTTTCCTGTATATGTTTACCTGTCCATGTGTTTCCTGTATATGTTTACCTGTCCATGTGTTTCCTGTATATGTTTACCTGTCCATGTGTTTCCTGTATATGTTTACCTGTCCATGTGTTTCCTGTATATGTTTACCTGTCCATGTGTTTCCTGTATATGTTTACCTGTCCATGTGTTTCCTGTATATGTTTACCTGTCCATGTGTTTCCTGTATATGTTTACCTGTCCATGTGTTTCCTGTATATGTTTACCTGTCCATGTGTTTCCTGTATATGTTTACCTGTCCATGTGTTTCCTGTATATGTTTACCTGTCCATGTGTTTCCTGTATATGTTTACCTGTCCATGTGTTTCCTGTATATGTTTACCTGTCCATGTGTTTCCTGTATATGTTAACCTGTCCATGTGTTTCCTGTATATGTTTACCTGTCCATGTGTTTCCTGTATATGTTTACCTGTCCATGTGTTTCCTGTATATGTTTACCTGTCCATGTGTTTCCTGTATATGTTTACCTGTCCATGTGTTTCCTGTATATGTTTACCTGTCCATGTGTTTCCTGTATATGTTTACCTGTCCATGTGTTTCCTGTATATGTTTACCTGTCCATGTGTTTCCTGTATATGTTTACCTGTCCATGTGTTTCCTGTATATGTTTACCTGTCCATGTGTTTCCTGTATATGTTTACCTGTCCATGTGTTTCCTGTATATGTTTACCTGTCCATGTGTTTCCTGTATATGTTTACCTGTCCATGTGTTTCCTGTATATGTTTACCTGTCCATGTGTTTCCTGTATATGTTTACCTGTCCATGTGTTTCCTGTATATGTTTACCTGTCCATGTGTTTCCTGTATATGTTTACCTGTCCATGTGTTTCCTGTATATGTTTACCTGTCCATGTGTTTCCTGTATATGTTAACCTGTCCATGTGTTTCCTGTATATGTTTACCTGTCCACGTGTTTCATGTTGTGCTGTTCATGTGTTTCCTGTTTATGTTTACCTGTCCGTGTGTTTCCTGTATATGTTTACCTGTCTATGTGTTTCCTGTATATGTTAACCTGTCCATGTGTTTCCTGTTTATGTTTACCTGTCCGTGTGTTTCCTGTATATGTTAACCTGTTCATGTGTCTCCTGTATATGTTAACCTGTCCATGTGTTTCCTGTATATGTTTACCTGTTCATGTGTTTCCTGTATATGTTTACCTGTTCATGTGTTTCCTGTATATGTTTACCTGTTCATGTGTTTCCTGTATATGTTTATCTTTTCATTTGTTTACCTGTTCCTCCAGTAGTTGGACCCACGGACGTTGTGGTGGTAGTCCAGGTCATAGTACGCCGTCAGCAGATCTCGGACTCTCAGACGGTCTCTGTTCTCTGCAGTCATGTGAGGACACAGTCCATATCTGGGGACAGACAGGTAGACAAAGACAGGTCCTCGGATCTCCACCAGGTGCTGCTGTTGTCAAACTGGACTGAGGACACTGAGAGACACTCACATGTTGTCTCTAATGAAGCGTCTCAGAGATCCGATGGTCAGGTAGTCTCTGAAGACGACCACACTGTCCTCAAACTTATTATCCAGTCTGGGAGGACGGAACAGCAACACGCTCCTGAAACATTGTAACATTAAGTTTGCAAAAGTACTGACACGTAGTCAGATAATGTTAGGCTACATAAAAATACGCTAGCAAAAGCACTATAAGGTGAAGTCAGATGAAGTAAGGCCAAGTAAAGTTACATTAGCAAAAGTACTGTCAGGTAAAGTCAGGTGAAGTAAGGCTACAAAAAGTTACATGAGCAAAAGTACTGACACGTAAAGCCTGATGAAGTAAGGCTACATAAAGTTAGGTTAGCAAAAGTACTGTCACGTAAAATCAGATGAAGTAAGGCTACATAAAGTTACGTTAGCAAAAGTACTGTCACGTAAAGTCAGATGCAGTAAGGCTACATAAAGTTAGGTTAGCAAAAGTACTGTCACGTAAAATCAGATGAAGTAAGGCTACATAAAGTTACGT